TGGGGAGACTCTCTCTCGGGGAAAGGGGTCGTCACCGGCGTGGGGGTGTGATGGAGGCGTTAAAACCAGAGCTGGTGGGAAAGGGTCACACGGGGGACAGCGGGGTGAGGAGAAAGAAGAAAAGGTTTCTTTTTCTTTCCACCCCCTTTTTCACGTTCCTCTCTCCCTCCCCCCCCCCTCCCCAAAAATAAAAAATAAAAACACCCCACCCTCAGCAAACCAGGGAAAAAGCAAATTTAAAGAAAAAAAAAACCACCACCACCAAACCCCCATCTTTTCCTTGAAAATTCCACCTCCTGCACTTCTTTCCCCCATTTCCATTGCCCCCCCACAGCCCCCCCGCACTACTTTTGATGGGAATCGGCAAGTTTGTCACCAGCTTTGGGGAAAATGCTGCCACGTGCCGCCTCCTGCCCGGCATTTTTGGGGGGCTCTGGGTGCTGCCGGCTTTCGGGGCGAGCATCCCGCTTTGCGGCATCTTCCTGGCCATGCCTTGTCCGTACCGTCCCCGCTGCCACCTCCTTCCTTTCCCCTCCCATCCCTCCACCTGAGGGGCGCGATTTGGGGTTGTTTCGGGGATTTTGAACACCTGAAGTGGCAAAAATTCCTCCCCGTCCATCTCTCCCGGGGCCGCAGTCATAACTGCGAGCTTCAGCTGAAGGTTTCCTCTTGTTTCCTTTCCCATTTCCGCATCGTTTTACTCTGCCTTTCCTCCTTCCCCTCTCGCTTCCCTTTAATTATTTCTTTTTTTCTTATTTTTTTCAACCAAAAAATACCCAACCAGACCCAGAAACTGAGTATTATGTTTTCACTACCTCCATCACCCTTCCCTGTCCGAAGCCAGAAGCCATGTTCGGGATGTAAGAGGGCCTTTTCCCGTTTATTTTTTCCTTTTCTCCGGAGATTTTTCTCTCCCCCCCGCCTCGTCTGTCCTTCTCCCCCTTTCCCCCTCTCCCTCCTTTCTGATCTTTCACCCGGAGTATTTTACCCGTCTACTGTAACTGTAAATAGCGAGTTTCAATATGTTAGCAATGGTAACAGTACAGAAAACTGGGGTTTTTTGGGTTGTTTTCCTTTTTTTTTTTTTGGTTGTATTGATATGAAATGAGATTATATTTTTGTCAGAGTATATTGTAATAATACTGACT